GTCGAATCGAAATGGCTTTGATCAATGCTCATGATGGCAATTACTGCATTGTATTGTTGAGTTTATTTACAGACCGCCGCCATATAGCTGGAATATTGTTGAGTACTCATGAAACCAAAAAAACAACCGAAACTAGATGGAAGGTTTGTTGGTCTTGTACTGAGACCAGATAGAAGGTTTGTTGGTCATGTATCGAGACCAGATTTAAGGTCTGTTGGTCGTGTACAGTGACCAAATGGAAGGTTTGTTGGTTGTGTACAGAGACCAGATGGAAGGTTTGTTGGTTGTGTACTGAGACCAGATAGAAGGTCTGTTGGTCTTGTACTGAGACCAGATAGAAGGTTTGTTGGTCATGTATCGAGACCAGATTTAAGGTATGTTGGTCGTGTACAGTGACCAGATGGAAGGGTTGTGGGTGGTGTACCGAAACTAGATGAAGGTTTGTTGGTCTTGTACCGAGACCAGATGGAAGGTTTGTTGGTCTTGTATCGAGACCAGATAGAAGGTTTGTTGGTCGTGTACAGTGACCAGATGGAAGGTTTGTTGGTTGTGTACTGAGACCAGATAGAAGGTTTGTTGGTCGTGTACTGAGACCAGATGGAAGGTTTGTTTCGTGTGAGGTTGTTGGTTGTGTGACCAGGAAGGTTTGTTGGTCGTGAGACCAGATAGAAGGTTTGTTGGTCTTGTACCGAGACCAGATGGAAGGTTTGTTGGTCGTGTACTCGAGACCAGATGGAAGGTTTGTTGGTCTTGTACCGAGACCAGATGGAAGGTCTGTTAGAAGGTTTGTTGGTCGTACAGTGACCAGATAGAAGAAGGTTTGTTACAGTACCAGATGGAAGGTTTGTGGGTCTTGTATGGAGACTAGATCTAAGGTTTGTTGAGACCAGGTGGAAGTTTTGATGGTCGTGAACCTAGACCAGATGGAAGGTTTGTTGGTCGTGTACAGTGACCAGATGGAAGGTTTGTTGGTCTTGTATGGAGACCAGATCTAAGGTTTGTTGAGACCAGGTGGAAATTTTGATGGTCGTGTACCTAGACCAGATGGAAGGTTTGTTGAGACGAGATAGACGGTTTGTTGGTCACGTATCGAGACCAGATGGAAGGTTTGTTGGTTTTGTACCGAGACCAGATGGAAGGAGGTTGTTACCTCCGCCGGCTGCGCACGTCAGTGGATATGTTCATGAATGTTGCAGTGGGCTGGAGACGTGTCATCGATGTATCACTTTTATGACTCCGAATCAAGACGAACTGTTTGGTAATCCATTATCGGCACACAGATATTACCCTATACAATACCTGGCTTCGTCATGGCTTCCCACAGGATAACGATGCCATTAAATATTTACTTTTGCGTTATTGCAGATAAAATCCCCTTACTACCCCATATACAATCTACACAAAGGGTGGTATTTGAAAAAGATTCTCATGGTGAAACCGGGAGATTAAAATGCGCGATGAATTGAATTTTAATACATCCTCCATTCAGGTCTGGTAAGCACGTACCAAACCAATAAACCATAAATGCGCGATATTTAGATGCCACCAATTCACACCACCATCTGTTGGCGATAAAGTTAAGACACCATGTTACCATCTTTGAAACATTTCAATAACTCTAGCTGTCATCTTTCATCAAATACCTATCTTCTCCTCTGCTGTTGACGACATCTATCGGAATTGCAAGGGCATCGGCTAAGTCACATGACAGTCAATGGGTATTTCTCGATAAATAGGTTGAGCGTCCGCGTCCGATCGGAAACAGCTGCAAATTTTCGAGATTGTTCATGCGTCACCAAAATCAAAATCTTATCAAGCCGATAAACGCTTGTTGACCTGGACGAGGTCCTCATGTGAGCGGGACAAAATGTGAAACTCCCATCTATAACACCTATATTTATCTATCGTAAAACTTTAAATTGTTATCCATATTGCAACACATATGAAATAGTACCACCCTTTGTTGGAGTCTTTCCTGGCTCGTGAGTCGTTAGAGATAATTTTTGGGTTCCACTAAGTCAATGTGTCATTTTCCGCGAAGTAACCCATACCCATGTCCGTTTTCAACAAAGTAATACTTCCTTATTTACATCGATTTTGTTTGTTATGGTTGACACCATGACGAAATATATGGAATACAGAAATGTCCAGTTAATTTGTCGATGTTGGCTGCATGCAATTACCCCAGAAAAATAAGTATGCTGGATAAACACAATTAAGTAATTTTAGTGGACCTTGACGAAAGATAACAACGGCACATGTACGGCGTAATATCATCCTCCAAAATGAAATATTCATATTGTTTTGTTGACAATGATATTGCAAAAAGTCCATGTAATATTCAACATTTAATGAAAACAGTCATAACTCAGTGTGCATGTATCGCATAACATGAAATCAAAACATGTTCATATTTCGTATTTCCTGGTGAACTCACTGCATTTGTTGAAATTATCGACACATCTTTCAACAATCGATTACGTATCGAAAATGTGTTTCTATGACCTTTGTTTATATTGTATTCCGATTTGGAAGACATTTTTCTCAAATATGAGTGAGTGAGCTTAGTTTTAAGCCGCACTCAGCAATATTCCAGCTATATGGCGGCGGTCTGTAAATAATCTGCACCTACGCATGTGTCAACCAAGTCGGCGAGCCTGACCACCCGATCCCGTTAGTCGCCTCTTACCACAAGCATGGGCTACTGAAGGTTCATTCTAACCCGGACGTTCACGGGTTTCAAACATGAACATGATGAGGTATCCAGAGCCATAGTGAGGGGATGGCTTAAAGTGACACATAACATCTGATTGATAGTAGCCTGTGTGTGCGTGCATGCGTGCGTGCGTGCGTGCGCGCGTGCGCGTGGTCAGTCTGACGATGAACATGGTGCTGAAAAACTTAAAATGATAATCAGGACCAGGGCGGATTTGAACCCACGATCTGTCTTGGCGTGCCCACTGGGAGCATGTCTGCACAGTCTTAAGCGACGGAGAGCATAAGGTAATGTTTGATTGGACATAGTGGAGGGCCATCTGTAAGACGCACGCATAGATCCATGCTCATGTTGGCAAGTCCATTGGTATGGCAGATTGATGTACTGCGTCACTTTTAGCGTTATTGAAGCCATATCACGGCGGGGAACAGGGGAAGTGGGCTTCACGCCTTCTATACATGTTATGAAAACAGGCGCGTTTTTCTGCATTATGAAACTCATTTAGTAAAGATAATCTTATGTACAATTACATCATCTGGTCTGGCGAGGAGCGTTCTTTCACTGCGCTGAAGATCAGTTGATGGCGCCAACACCAAAACCTGGATCAATTGGAACTGATCTGTTGTTATTCCTGTAGACAGGAATGTGTGTGTGTAAGTGAGTGAGTGAGTGTGTGTGTGTGTGTGTGTGTGAGAGAGAGAGTGTGTGAGTGAAAGTGTGTGTGTGCATGCATGTGAGTGTATGTATGTGTGTATGCGTGAAAGTATGCATGCATGCATGTATCTATGTTATGTTAAGTTTCCCTCGGTGACTCTTGGTGAGAAAATAGTTCCCAGCCACCCAGCCACGTAAGAGCCGACGTAGTGGATAAGGTGGTAAGACTTGGCAACTTCGTTGTTTTGGTTTAATCGTGCCCAGACGGCTTGGAATGGTGCTCATAATATCATCCACTGGTTCATCTGGTTGGGACACTATTACTTACAGATCAATCACCATACAGCTGGAATTCCTGAGTGCGGTGCTAAGCAACAAACAGTCACACTGCTGGCCCTGCAAGAGTCTTGGTTTAATATCACGGTGTGTCGGCTTGGCGTTCATTTATGTGAGTGAGTGAGTTGGGTTTTACCCCGCTTTTAGCAATATTCCAGCAATATCACGGCGGAGGACACCAGAAATGGGGTTCACACACTGTACCCGAGTGGGGAATCGAACCCGGATCTTCGGCGTGACGAGCGAACGCTTTAACCACTAGACTACCCTACTGCAGTTGAAGCACAACGTGACCTGAGACGTCTTCTATTGCTGACAGAACCAATCATCATTCAAGGATTCGAACCAACAACCAGTGAAGTTTTACCGGATTCATGATCGTTTAACTTGTAAGTCACTGCTGACTGGCTCAGTACTGAGGTGTACGATTGACATGCCCTTACATGTGTTTGTGATGTCTGCCAAGATTAATTTTATCAATATATGACAGTGATTAATAAAAATATACACATGACATAGCCGGAATCGTACAGTGGGCTCAAGCTTCAAGCAGATATCCCTTATGACTATGATTCTCGTGTCCAACGCGGTGATATTGCTGAAATATTGTTGGCGTAAAACCAAACTCACTCTTCTGTTCTGTGGAATGTCACTATTGACTTCCAACCCCCGGCTGACACCGCGTAACATGACTTCAATACTGTTCAAAAGTACTTTTCTCTAGTTATTAAATTTCCAATATTCTTGACAGTCATAATACGTCATTTACATACTCGCTATGTCGCGGTTGAGACGGGATGAGGATTGTTTGGTGGCTAGATATTTCTTTTCAACTACAGCTGCAAACCCAAGTATGTTTTCTTTAAAATAATCAACCTGAATATGTTTTCGAAAAATGCCTCCTTACAACAAAGCATATTTGACAATTTTCAACAGTATGTAGCATTAACCATTTTCGGGAACAATTTGTGTAATTCGATAAAACCCCAGAGTCTGCAAGAACATAAACTGTTGGCTGCTTAATGAAAGAAGTCCAGTTTGAATTAAATGTCTGTGACGTTAACAAAAACAATCCTTTTTGGAAAAGAATCAACCCAACAGTCCATTCTCTACGTCACAGCTCCAACGCCCTGGCACAAATGACTGATTCTACACATCAGCTCAACGTACACTGAGCCATGACATCGCCCTGCTATCCGCCACGCCACAATAGTGTACAGTGCGCATTGATCCGTACTTGAGACACGGGCAGGCCATTATATATCGGCATTACATGCAACATGTTACTTGTGCACTGCACGGCGTAGAGAGTGCCAGCCAGCATAAAGCCCGGCGCTCCGAGGGATACTGCGCCAAGCCCGGGGGGCCACAGTAACGGTGAATTTGTGTATGTGTCACTTCAGCTTGAATGCCAATACTTCGGATTTCTGGGACCACTTTGTCACCGTGGCGTTCAGTTTGAAAGTTCTGGAGTTTAATAATTCAACTCTGAACAAAATAATTTGAAAAGTTTGTTGGATGATTTTAGAAAGGAAGTTCATGTGATACTGACGGATTCAAGGTACCGGTGAGAGTGTGATCGTATTGTATTTTCCTTCTATAAGGCGATCCATAAATCATAAAGGATATAGTTTTGGTTAGGAATTAGTTCTTTGGAATAGAACTTGACTCCGTGTCATATTCCTAGACAATTATATTCGACCGGATTGAGCATTTCGATCTGACAGAATGACACTGACTAGTTCCGATCAGCGGTGACGGATGTTTGATGATGGAGATTAAGTGCCCATGTTTGACATTCGAACTGCTTCTATGATAAGGTTGATCTGAGTTTTTAAAATTGTCAACTTATATCTGCGCATTGAACTGTGACAGGGATACTACTTCAATGAGAGACGCCTGGGAATAATTGGTCTCTGCTTGTCAATTCTGCCTGATCCTTTAATAACCACAATTAGCATTCCTCCTCTCTATCAACTGTACAAAGTTCGTTTCCAAGATGGCGACCAAGAACCAGCGGAAGCTGAAACTTCTGCAGGATCGTATGCAAGCGGGTTTGACAGAGGACGAGAGGGATTTCTTACAGGCCGCCGAGCTCGGGGACATCGATGCTATCAAGAGTCTTATAGAGACAGAGACTGTCTCTGTAAACTGTGTGGATCCACAAGGACGTACTGCTCTAGAAGCAGCTGTAGCGGCTAATGATGAAGACATTGTTCATTATCTTCTGGGTAAGGTGAAGGACAAGACCGTCCACAAGGCTCTGCTGTGTGCCTGCGACAATGACAGGGACAAGATCAGTGAGATCATACTTCTGCATCCTCTGTATCAGGAGAGGAATGTTTCAGCAACCCATGAACAGATCTGGAAGATTGGAAGTAAGTCGACGTCTGATCATCCTCAGGTTGATACCCTTCTTAGAGAAGCTCTGCTCAGGGCGGCCAAGAGGAACAATTTCCAGATTGTCAAACAGCTGATGTTGATGGGGGCTCATTTGGACCCTCCACATGACTACTTCTGTAACTGTAGCGAGTGTACCACCCAGAGGAGTGAGGACTTTAAGGTGTACACCAACAAGCGTCTGGACACGTATAGCGCCATGGCTAGCCCTGCATATATCTCTCTGACGGAAGAGGACCCCATAATGTCTGCCTTTAAACTCAGCCAGGCCTTCAAGCGTATGGCTGAGATTGAGTCAGAGTTCAAGGTAATATGAAATGCTTGCAAATAGTTTTTTTCAGACTTTAATTTTCAACAAACTTATTTAACAAATTTATGTAGTTGTTACTCTTTCATTGGTTCAGCCATAACGCACCCAGAACCACCAATAATGGCTTTCTGATTATACCCATGTCGGAATCAAACTCGGGTCTGAATGGCGAACTAACGTTTGAACCACTGGGCTACTGTGGGAATAGATTTACATGGTAAAGCAAAGCTATAACGTAAGTAGTGTCCGGTGTAAAATAAATTCCTGCTATGAAGAAGTCGCATACGACGACAAACTGTCCGTTAAGAAATCTTCAGAATTGTCATCGAAGACCCTTCTCCCAACATTGATCACTTTCATCCAAGAGCTAGAAAGAAGTTTCATGAAGAAGGATTTGGCTCAGGGCTGATAATAATCAAATAACTGTCTAGAATGATAATTGTTTTGGACGAATAATATATAGTTTCTGTTCGTCACAGAAGTAATTTAACCTCAGAAAATGATATATGTTGGCCACCATTGCAGGTATTTATTTTGTTCACACATTTTCATATATTCCTAAAGCATGTGTGAACAATGTGTACGCCCCTCTTAGATTTAGGCTACCACACAACATAAAAGCTGAATATAAAAACTGCCGGGTACAAGGCAGCATACATTTTCAGAAAAGCTGTCTCCGAATTTGCAACCGTCTGTTCCTTGCGGTGTCATGTTTATGTTTGTGAGAAACCCATTGCTAAATGCATGCAATATCGCCTTTTATATCCGAATTAAGTACACAACATGGATGTACATGTTCTCTATCACGGCAGTTGACTTGGAATGTTGTTCAGAGCGGGTTAAACATAATTCACTCATTCATTGGCCCAATTATTGACCCATACGTCCTGTGCGTTCCTCTGAATTACGTCTTCGATGAAATAATCGGAATATTTATTATTTGTGTTAACCAAAATTTCGTTAATCCATCTTTTAACATAACGGGTTTGTTTTTCGAATCAATGTCATATAAGCAACTGTTTTAACCTGGTAGTTTTGTTATTGTGTCTAAAATATAGCAGCATTTATTTTTCGATTATTTTATGACAAACGTGAACTTTGAAAAAATACTACAAATAGAAATAACTGCTAGCAATAACATAATTGTTTAGTAAAACAAAACAGTAAAGTGTGATAGTACGGAGCTTTTTGTCACAGCGAATACCCACAGACAAGGTTCGCTTGAGAACGTACAAAAACAGTTGTATCAAAACAGATTTTTTCGTATATTGCTTTAAATGATCTGTGTAACAATATGTTGATCTGCGCAATTGGGAACCGATGACATGTGTCAACCAAGCCAGCGAGCCTGACCACCCGATCCCGTTAGTCGCCTCTTACGACAAGCAAGGGTTACTGAAGATTCATTCTAACCCGGACCTTCACGGGTCTAGAAACTATAGGTAACGCTAGTGGAACAAGCAAATGACCCCAAGGGTTACAGAGTGTAGTAATCGCCTATAACAGGTGAATGTCAACGCCAGAGAATTATCAGTCTGAAAATCAATGGATGCACCTGGCGGTTAACACGTCTTAGACAGAAAAAAAACATCACTAAAACAACATTGATGCATCCTTCTCATACGTGGCATTTGTAGCTGAGTCATGGCTTCGCTGTTTTTGCTCTTAAGAAAGCCAAACGTTTCGGGGAGATCCATATTGTCCAGCCAATCCTATTTCTTTCAAGATCGCATTTTACAGACATTTTCGAGAACATTTTCGATGATATGCAATCAACTAGTTTGCACAGCCTGACCCGAGAGTGTCTAGCAGTAGCAGTAGCATCATGAGTTGCAGTAGTTGTAGCGGTAGCAGCTGAAATAGTTGCAGTAGTAGCAGCAGCAGGAGCAGTCGGATCAGTGGCACCAGCAGCAGCAGCGGAAGCAAGTAAATCACCTCTGCCCCGCCATGTTTAATGATGTTAGTAGTTGTGTGGATAATATCATATACACTATTAAACTGATTTTGTAAACACTGGTAAGAACATCACCTCTGTCCCGCCAGGTTCAATGATGTTAGTAGTTGTGTGGATAATATCATATACACTATTAAACTGATTTTGTAAACACTGGTAAGAACATCACCTCTCCCCGCCAGGTTTAATGATGTTCGTAGTTGTGTGGATAATATCATATACACTATTAAACTGATTTTGTAAACACTGGTAAGAACATCACCTCTGTCCCGCCAGGTTTAATGATGTTAGTCGTTGTGTGGATAATATCATATACACTATTAAACTGATTTTGTAAACACTGGTAAGAACATCACCTCTCCCCGTCAGGTTTAATGATGTTAGTAGTTGTGTGGATAATATCATATACACTATTATACTGATTTTGTAAACACTGATGAGAACATCACCTCTCCCCGTCAGGTTTAATGATGTTCGTAGTTGTGTGGATAATATCATATGCACTATTATACTGATGGTTTAAACACTGGTAAGAACATCACCTCTGTCCCGTCAGGTTTAATGATGTTAGTAGTTATGTGGATAATATCATATACACTGTTAAACTAATTTTGTAAACACAGGTAAGAACATCACCTCTCCCCGTCAGGTTTAAACATGTTAGTAGTTGTGTGGATAATATCATATACACTATTATACTGATTGTGTAAACACTGGTAAGAACATCACCTCTGCCCCGCCAGGTTTAATGATGTTAGTAGTTGTGTGGATAATATCATATACACTATTATACTGATTGTGTAAACACTGGTCAGAACATCACCTCTGCCAGGTTTAATTATGTTAGCAGTTGTGTGGATAATATCATATACACTATTAAACTAATTTTGTAAACACTGGTAAGAACATCACCTCTCCCCGCCAGGTTCAATGATGTTCGTAGTTGTGTGGATAATATCATATACACTATTAAACTAATTTTGTAAACACTGGTAAGAACATCACCTCTCCCCGTCAGGTTTAATGATGTTAGTAGTTGTGTGGATAATATCATATACACTATTAAACTGATTTTGTAAACACTGGTAAGAACATCACCTCTGCCCCGCCATGTTCAATGATGTTCGTAGTTGTGTGGATAATATCATATACACTATTAAACTAATTTTGTAAACACTGGTAAGAACATCACCTCTCCCCGTCAGGTTTTAATGATGTTAGTAGTTGTGGATAATATCATATACACTATTATACTGATTGTGTAAACACTGGTCAGAACATCGCCTCTGCCAGGTTTAATGATGTTAGTAGTTGTGTGGATAATATCGTATACACTATTAAACTAATTTTGTAAACACTGGTAAGAACATCACCTCTCCCCGTCAGGTTTAATGATGTTAGTAGTTGTGTGGATAATATCATATACACTATTAAACTAATTTTGTAAACACTGGTAAGAACATCACCTCTCCCCGTCAGGTTTGATGATGTTAGTAGTTGTGTGGATAATATCATATACACTATCATACTGATTGTGTAAACACTGGTAAGAACATCACCTCTCCCCGTCAGGTTTAATGATGTTAGTAGTTGTGTGGATAATATCATATACACTATTATACTGATTGTGTAAACACTGGTAAGAACATCACCACTGCCCCGCCAGGTTTAATGATGTTAGTAGTTGTGTGGATAATATCATATACACTATTATACTGATTTTGTAAACACTGGTAAGAACATCACCACTGCCCCGCCAGGTTTAATGACATTAGTAGTTGTGGACATCCTCTCTGCACCTATAATATAATCATATTGGTAGTTGTATGGACAATAGCATATATTTTGTTAAAGATATTGTAAGTATTTGTAGGGACAGCCGTATGAATTTTTCAGCTACCAGTCCTTACAAATGAAGCGTTCAGTAAAACAACACTAGTGCATTACACACTATCATACTCTTCCATTTCTATTTTCCATTCGATTTCCACCTGTGTATAAATTAATATTTACGTGAGTGAAATTCTGTGCATCTTCAGTTATTGTGTATACTGATAATCAAACGATAATAGGTGCCGGAATTTGCGTTGTTCAATTATCGATCATGAAGTTTGTAGTCACAACAGGCTTATTGTCGTTATTCAACACAGAACGAATCGAACAATGCAACAGAACGCTCTGTATGTAAAATTGCAACACTGTTCATGTATACGTAAATTGAATCACAATGGAATATCGGTATCATAACTCATAACCTGGAGCAGTGTTATAATGCTGTTTAAGTGTTAGCGACATGTCGTAAGTCTTTTTAGGTCACAATTATGAAGTCACTATGGCAGCTGTACACCAGTTCAGTATGATATTTTAAAGATTGTATTCTCTAGAAAAAAATATTATCAATGCAAGTTGTAAAATATGACGTCTTTTCATTTCATTTTGTGTGATGCTGAAGATAAGGATTGCATCAACGTGTATATGAGGGGATGTATATTCAATAACGGATATATACTTAATGTAACGTGGTGTTCTATATGATGATTTTGTCTATATTAGTCATGTTCAGTAACCGCTTTACTTCATGTAACGTGATGTTCTATATGAGGATTGTGTTTATATATAAGTCATGTTTAGTAACCGCTTTACTTCATGTAACGTGATGTTCTATATGAGGATTGTGTTTATATTAAGTCATGTTCAGTAACCGCTTTACTTCATGTAACGTGATGTTCTATATGAGGATTGTGTCTATATTAAGTCATGTTCAGTAACCGCTTTACTTCATGTAACGTGATGTTCTATATGAGGATTGTGTCTAAATTAAGTCATGTTCAGTAACCGCTTTATTTCATGTAACGTGATGTTCTATATGAGGATTGTGTCTAAATTAAGTCATGTTCAGTAACCGCTTTACTTCATGTAACGTGATGTTCTATATGAGGATTGTGTCTATATTAAGTCATGTTCAGTAACCGCTTTACTTCATGTAACGTGATGTTCTATATGAGGATTGTGTCTATATTAAGTCATGTTCAGTAACCGCTTT